CACAGTGGATATTGTCAGATCCTGTAATACAACAACACAGTGGATATTGTTAGATCCTGTAATACAACAACACAGTGGATATTGTTCAGAAGCACCGATTAAGAACAAACCGACATAGAACATTGTCATGGCTTGTTTTATTCAAATTTCTGTTTTTTAATTTTTTAAATGACAACTACAATTTCATAATTTTTTACATAAAATGTAATAAGTAGTACTTCACACTCCTTGGTGTTGCCAGCTCTATAGGAAGGGCTTCGCAATCGGGAGGTTGATGGTTGGATTATTCTTCTCAGGCTCCAAATATTGCGAAAATCAAACCTCTATACGGAATAATGTTTGACTGGCTTTCCCTTCCCTATACTTCGCATATATAAATATTGTGTTTTTAATAAAAATTATAAAAGTTTCAAAACATGTTGTCTTGGACAAAACGTTTTCTCTGACACATTGATTGCATAGTATTAAACACGAAACACTTTTGCAGACAGTTTCTTTATGAAGAACGACCGATTCTTCTGCGTTTCCACTGTGATCCTTCCTCTGTTTAGGTACATGTATGCCAGAAATCGCCAAACCGCTAGCTCCATTCTTGTTTTATAAACCAGCATTTCCGGTCGATCCATTTGGAACTCTTTCATTAACGAAAGCGGCTAGGAATATTTCACAAATTTCACACAATGAAAGTAATCATTTCTCATTTTGTTAGATCACTGACCTTTATGACAGGTTAAATACCCGAAACACTATGAATATATAATTTAATAAAACTATTAAATACGTGTACAATTAGAATTTAGGCCTCAACAATAGAGATTTAAATGCTCGTTGTTTCTGGCGAAGTTGTTCTTTCAGTTCCTCGTACTCCGCTACCGTGTACTGTCTGGCTGACTTCGGCTGTAAAGTAAAACGGAAATTTAATAACAAGATGATATATGATTATTTTAACCATACTTTGACTTATGCCTCTGCAGGTAAGCACCAGAGGCGGTTAATACCCCCAAAACCCCCCGCCACCACATGCCTCTGCAGAAAAAAATAGTTCCTTCTTTGTCTTCTGATAAGCTGACCAAGAGATATTGACGAAACCAAAATTGATCTGATCTGCTTCACTCATTGCAATCAAAGAGGCCTTTTCATACCCTATCTACCATGTATGTATATTTCCCTAGGCAACCATCACCATGAGACCTTTGTGAGACGTTAAACTCCATATAGTTAAAGCAAACAAACCAAGACACCGACACATCATCTTAAAACACAGAAGGTTACATCAGTTCTCCTAATCAATATTCTTTTCAAAGTTGGCTTGTTACAGTTTGTTAACTGAGAACTGTTGTACTGTATGTGGTAATACAGCTTGTTATACTGTCAATGTGAAGTAGTTCGTAGTATAGCCTTATGCTGTAATAGAACCTGTAGTGCTGCATATGTAAATACCACAGGCTAGTTTTTTACACAAACAGTTTTTGAAGGATTAAATACTGTTTGTATAAACAACCAAGCTGATTAATCTCATTCCGTATGTTGCTGCGTATCTAGGTCTTTGTTCTAGTATTGTTTTTAAATGCAACAAATACATGTATATCTACATGTACGTCCATTGCTATCTCATAGTATTGTCGTGAAAGGTACATGTATGTAAGTATAAGACACTGATGTGGTGTATTGTCTTTGGTCGAAATAACGCGAAACTTGAAATTTTCAGAAGCATTATTGCATTGTTTCATGCAAATTATGGAGACTGTATTTCGTGAGTAACAAATTACGGAGACTGTTCCAGCGTTTCTGCCAGTATTTACATCAATAAAAAGTGTTTTAATTTTGTTTGAACATGGTTTTGTTTCATAACCTGAATATATTGTATATATTGATTTATTCTAAAACAAGCAAAATGGATTTCTTCTTTACAGACACTCTGAATGTTGTATCAATAGAAAACTTTAATGGTAAACTCAATTTAAATTCTGTTTTATTTTCTACATACGTACAAATAAACTTCAAACACATAACAGTTTGCTTCTTGTTCATAACCGCACAGACTGACAGCTCATGTTTTATAATTATTTATTTATTTATTTCATTTTCATCATTTCCATTTAAACGTATCCTGTCGTCCCCAGGTGTAGTGCATTAGGCAGATACAAAACAAATGGTTTTCCGCTGAATATAAGCATTTCTTGAGTATGAGAGGTTTTTGGTATTTTTTGATAGAAGTAAGATTGAAAAGCAATCCAGTGAAACACATCTATGGTATAACTGAAACTATTGAAAACGGTAGATTGGATGCCAATGATACAAACTAGTGCTGTTAGTGGTGTTATATATCACCATCAATGTTGCCTTAGTATGTTGACCTCACAATCAACAAGATATCAGGTGTTTCCCATATCCCTACTGCAGTGAAGATATCAATAATCAGGTTGCTTATTCACCATATTTCATACTTATACAGTATATGTAGTGTGGCGAAGCAGATATCCGGTATAGTGAAGGTTGCGTTAGACAAATATTCAGGGGTACTTTTCCACGATTTTGCAATTTCAAACCACTGATGTATTTATTGTGGTATGTTAATTGCGCTAGTTTAATCATTGTAGCCTCTATTAATATTCCTGGCCGGTTTCATTTGTACTTCGAAAGACTGGAAATTAGTACATAGAGCATTTTTCATGTTATATAATAATGCACACATGATTAAATATCATAAATATATTTAAATGGGAAACTATAAAATAGGAAAGCACAAAAATACTGTAACTCGCATACTTTAAGCGAGATAGTTATTATCAAGTTATTCTGGTCAGTCGTGAGCATAATCTTTTTGCTTTTGCGAGTTCGATTTTGGAAATAAATGTTACGAAACAAATACTCATGAAAATTAACTTATTGACAGCAGAATAACTACATATTAGTTAATTATCTACCCTTCTTCGCCGGACGACTAGACTGACGGACGTGGATCTGCTAGACTGAGGCCTGGGCACCCAGGGGCTTCTTCGGTTGACACAGCAGGCTGTAATGTTAAACACACAAACATGTTCACGCGTTTTTATTTATAGAAATCCCTAGGTATCTATAATGTTAAAACACTACTTCTACAGATGTTAAAAATCTTTTTTAATATGGACATGTTTTATTGTAAATAAATCTGCAAATAATATCTTATATAACATGTACAAAGCATAATTTTCAGGGAACCGTTTATTTTCAATTCACAGATAGTTCTGTTTTACAAAATAACCAATACGAAAACAATTGTTTGTTAAAAGTGTTTTGTGAAGATTAAAGGAGCTACAATATTAATATTTTATAATGATATTACTATACTAATGACTTGTTTGAATGTGGTAGTTACATATTGTATACACATGAACATGCTATTGTTACACAACTTATACTGTAAACGGTGCGGTTCTTGTACTACCTGTATGATACCTGTTTCTTGTCTCTTCCCCACAACGATCCCTTAATTACAGAAAACGATGCAAGAACGATGAAAATGGTTATATATTACGTTTAAAAATTGAGATATCAAATTTTGTAAACTAGATCATCAGTATGATTTACAGTGAAATCTGTTTATATAGACTTCAAATAGAATACAATGCGAATCTTACAGACATGTGGTCATTGACGCCATGTTGTTTTAGTATAAAAAAAAGCACCATTTGTGGTATTGTATAGAAAGTAGTAATAGGAATGTTGTTTCTATAAACAGGTTTCACTGTAATTTTGTTATATCTTCGTAGATTACATAACTGAATTTACTATCACACCAAATACTCACTACGGGTACGCAAACAGATATATAATTGTTAATTTTATTAAGATTAACTCGTTTACTCTGATCCAATACAATACACCACGGCGTAAGCTCAAACAATATCCCATTAGGATTTACATTCTTCTTATCAATTTTGCTTATCATTGTGCCATCCATTGGTAAATATATGCATGCAGGTAATAAATGAATGAATGGTTGTATATAAAACAGATTGATACAGTCATAGGTCTAAGTTGTTAAGATTATGTGTTCAGAATCGATGATCAATATGGACTTATCGATCTCAAATAACAAATTTCAGTATTGTTATTATTTCATCCTCACGACAAATGCAAAAGAGTGATGATGTTTTTGATCAAATGACCGAAACAGTTAAATGATGATATTAGTCCAAACATATATATATATATACATACTGACTTTAGTTGAATATTCAAAATAGTTATATGATGACTAAAGTGTTCGAAGCAGTTACATGTATACACATATGTAATTACTTTAGTTGAGAAAGTTACACGATGATTTTAGTCAAATGACCGTAACAGTTATACTAATGATACTTTAGATCGGAAAAGCTTTACCATTACTTCAGCGGAAACGCAGTTAAAGGATTGCAGTAGTCAAATTATTTTTTATTCTGGCGTCTATTGCATGATAACAAAAACAATGATAAGGAAAACCCCATTGCCTAAAAAAAGCCACACAGCTACCAAGCCTGGTCGGGACTAATAAGGAAGAATTCGTGCCAGGTGTAAGTACAGGTGAGTCGAGTATACTGTAATTAGGTGAAACATGTCGTGAGTAAAGGAAGTGTTACTCTTTGTAAAGTCTAAAATAGAAGTACACAACAGCAGTCAGACGCTGAATTATAGCCAATATGTCTATAAGGATCTCTTAACAGAGCCGAATAGATATGTTTTTTCGAATACGAGCTTCAGCACAGGCAAAGCATATCAGATGGAAATGCACGTGGCTTACAATTCTTTGATTCTTCTGATCAGCGTGTCTACATCTATGGACATGTTATCGACCTCTGTTTATCAGAACAGAGTGGATCTACTCCGGAACTGGTGTGAATGTTTCATCCAAGACAATTCAAAACGATCATATCATACAAACAAACTTTCTTTATCATGTGGTCCGACATTTTAATGAGATAGGATTTTAAGTTTGGCACCTTTAATGGTCCCAACAAACAAATTAACCAAATTCGTTTAACTTGTGATATTCTGATAGCTTATTTATTCGCATATATTTTGTTTTCTCAATATTCCAGGCATTTGAAGATGCCTTCGTAAAACTGTACTTCCGTTTCATTTTTTTTCTGATAATCCTGTTGCGTTCCTTGATAATATGAAGTTCCGAAAAGTTGACAATCGTTTTTTAAGGAAATAAAGTAACTGACTTTTTGACATTGTGAGATCATTGATACGAAAATTCAACGTGTTTCATTGAAAGGCTGTAGGATTTTTTAAGCTGACATCGGTTATCGTCTGACTGCTGTCGGAGTGCTAAAATTAGAGTGAAGGAGGACAGAATGCCACACCTGTATCAGGGGCCTTGTCAGACTCGTGCGGTGAACACACGGTCACGTGTGGTGTACGGACGTCGACGATTGGTGGACTGACGGGGAGAACAAACGTCATCATAATGTGAACTTAAAGTGAACTTTACAAAACAACAACAACAACATGCGTTTAATAAAAATTAAACGGCGACAGATATGTGAACATAACCAGGTCTAGGGGATTAATGTATACTGGGCGGGAAACAATACAAATAATTACTTCTGCAATGAATATCTCCAGCTTGTGGTTCGAGGTAGGGACACTCTCCCTGTAGGGCAACAGAATGCAACATAATTCTACATAGCTCAATTAATATAGGACAACATTCATCCACAATAAATGTATAAATGATGCAGATACAGCAAAAGAGGTCATCTTCTTACAACACGTACGATTCAATACTGCAAGTATGGTATACATAAATTATAACGAATTCTTATAACGACAAAAACAAAACAAAACTCGTGGTCACAAAAGCTTTTAGGTTCAATTCTAAGACCATTAGTAGCTATTGAAATGGTTCTGCAATTGACAAAATATGAAAGGGGACACTGTAAAAGTGCAGTTTTGGCGCCATAGCAATTTCGTTAATTTGCGTTCACTGAATCGGCGCAAAAATATGTAGGCGCAAAATACCATATTGAGATATCAAAATAAAACATAATATCCTCTGAGCGAATTGTATAAAAAGTCAGAGCGCAAAACTTTCCACCTTTACAGTATAAAAAATTACAAGTGTGCAAAATCGACAGGAGTAAAAAATGAAAATAACGTTAAATATTCTACTGCATAGTGACCTGTATATATGGGCCATGTCTTGGCTTTGTGTTTGTTCACTCCGTAATTCCTCGATAAAGTTAGCCTTATGCCTTGTTTTTGGACGGAGATACACCTTTTTGCCCGGCAATGGTTTCCTGCTGTCCTGTAATACAGACATACCTTGTTAAATATACTAGTGTCTAATGTAACATAAACGAAGTGTTACAGAATGAAAAAGTACTTTCCAGTTCATATTAAAAACATGTATGCCATTATTGTTATTTTTGGAGTCTTTTATATGCGATAACTCAATGAATATCCACCAAATTTCAAAAGCCATACCACAATTTTTTCTTCGCTGGTAGAGTCAGATGAAAATATAATATGAATTGAATTGAAACAATCTACGACTTAACAGTACGTACATAACATCTTCAGAAATAACACATTAGGAAAATATCACATTGGGATATTTTGTTTTAGTGAATATGAATCAAGAAATGTTTCCGACATGTTAATTAAAATGATGTACGCGCTATGAAATGGTGCTTATTACTAACTGATTAATCAAGACAGGTAGATTACACAATAAATCAGCTACATGTACATGAAAAGTGCAAAACTGGCCAACAAGTCAAATAAGTGTAAGAGTCGATTTGATAAAAATAATGAATTGTATTCTGCATGGTGCTTAACGTTCTCGGGCTCAAACTTTCGTTGTTGACAAAAAAATATTAAAATAAACCAAAACATCTTTAGTAATCGACCGCTATAACTTATGTTTTTATCAGAAAGGCATCTTATGTGTGGTATTGTTATTTCGTGTATTTTTAAATAAAAGAGCCATGCCGTAATTAAACATAATATGTACAATGAATTTGCTTTAACAGTATATACAACTACTGTGAAAAGATAAACGTTAGTATGCCTTTACCTCCAGCAAAAGTCTATGCAACTTGACTGTCTTTTTGCATTGGCGTTTGGAATCCTTCGACGGGAGACTAGTGTGCCATGCCTCTATCCGCTGTTCCAGGTTTGCAAGGGCGTCGTCACTTGTTTCAAGGTCCTGGAAGTCTTCTGGCGAGGCCTCCGCGGCCTCCAAGCGTTCTTTGGCGTTATCACAAATCAACTGACTTCCTGATGTCAGTCCAAAACCATCCTCATCAAAGTTGTCTTGACCATTCTCGTCTGGCTCCATACTAGACAACTGTATTTGGGTGATCATACCAGAATTGTTCAAATTGAGGTTGGACGATTTATCTGCCTTTTCTTTGGGAGTTTGTCGACCAAATCGCAAGCGTTCGAGTTTTTTCTGTTTTTCTCTCATGCGTATAGAATAGAAGACGCTACCTGGCCCATACATGTCAATGAACGGCCCTCGGCGGGCGCTGTCGGAGGGCCAGTCCGCTACCTTTTCCGTTACATTTCGTTGCAAATATCTTTGTCGTTTTTGTCTTTCTTTTTCCTCAAGTTTGTAAAGAAGGAACCTGATTAAAGGAAGCTCTTTGTCCTGTATCCATGACAACCGTAATTTATACTTCTCCATCAGTAGTCCTTTCATCATTTCGATAACTTGAGGATTCCGTTTCTCTATTAGTCGATCGTAGTTTTTCTGGTCCAAAACATAAATCTCGGCCTCTTGCGTACATATGACAGTTTGGGCGTAGGTCGGCAGCCCTGTTATCAACTCAAAGTCACCTGTCAAATGGAGTATACTGTAGATATATCAAGAACCGAGTCGATTAATGAATAAAGAAGTCTTGGAACTCGGTAGAATGAAGTTACCGCTATTGGAAATCGTCGAGATGATAATTTAAAAAGAACGCCAAATAGTTGGACACTTTTTCGAATCAACTTTCTTCATCAAACATCAATCTATTGCCAAACCGTCTTACAATTATACAAAGGTATAAAAAGTATTCACGAAATTTGAGTGTTTTACAGTACACAAATTGTTTATTTTATCAATAGATTTGCCCAGCTTACTTCAAAAACAAACATAAATCAAATTATCAATCAATCAATGAGCAGGCTTCCCTAGAATAATTATTGTAGGAAAGGAAAAATATAATGCTGGGTGGTAACCAAGGATGCATGCATGCATACTATTATTTATGGAGCGCTAACGCGCACCATAAAAATGTTCTCTGCGAACTGCATTCATACTACCGTATACTTCATTCCTTATATTCAATCATTCTTGCGTTCTATAAATTAAGTTGAGGGGGGTGNTATCATTGTGACATTGTACCTATGATCTCCAATGCTCCTATGAGACAGATTTCGACGTGTCTGTGGATGTGGGGAGATTTCTTGCCGCTCTTCGAGTCCTGCGTCGGAGATTTCTGTTGGACAAGGTGTTTGTAATCGTCTGGTTTAGAAAACGGCATACTCAGCTCCCTGAAATTTAAACAGTAGAACTATTTAATTGAATTCAGTTTGGATACTCAAAATTCTCAATATCATATCATCTTCTTGGCAGCAGTTACTCGAAAGGTTTTTAAAATAACTCTTAATAACCACTGTCATGATCCGAAACACAAACACATTTTCTGGTCTTTTCAGTCTTTTCTGACGGCTAGAAATTTTAAAGTCTTATTTGCACGAAATATATTTATGACAGCCGACTTTCCTGACTTGGCACAATGTGACATAGTGAGTTGTTTTCAGCGATTTGGAAAAGAGATACCGGTCATTTGCACTTTGTTGTTGACAACGGAAACAGACGTTTTCAAAACATCGCAAAATAAGTTTGCAATTTGTGTTTGTGATCATATCAAACTAAGCTTTAATAATTCATACCAAACTGAATCTCATTCCGAATTTTCTCGTCATTGAATATTTCGTTTAATATTCTGCACTAAATTTATATTGTGCTGATAAATATATTTGGCCTGAGCACAGCTGGATAATATTAATAAACCTAAATTCCTGTTTTTAATTGACGGATTGATTTTTTCAAACAGACAGTTGAGCCTCCTTAGCAAACCGAAATAATAGTCATAGGCGACATTTTGACCTCTACCTATGTAAAGTAGTCCCAGTAAACTCCTGCTGCAGAGTCTAGCAGCTATTGGTAGGAACAGATACTGAGACTCAACTGTGTTAGCAATTAATTGATGATTACCAGAAATAGTTTAAGGAACAATCACTTCGGGATTTGTTTCTGAAACAACAACTCTAGCTTCATCCCTAGCCTTCGTCCGTTATACTGTTTTTTTCTGGTCTTAAACCTTATAGAAACGTAGAAATGTCTCTACTTTTGTGATTACTTATAAACGCGATGTTTGAATGACATTACACCTGTGCATTGTGTGTTGTGTTAATGATGTAAAACATACCTGCGTAGTGATTCTCTGGCTTCTACCTTCTGTAAATCCTGAATGTCTGTCAGGGGGTAGTAACTCGGATACTGGGTAGCATGCATCGAGTTGTCTGCTATAATTCTGGCTTGGCCACTGTAGAAGCATAACAGAATATTATTCGAAACATTAAACATTAAGGAAACGATTTTTTCATTTTTTAAGTTTTTGATCAACCACAGTTGCATATATACTTTTGAGACTGGTTAATACTCGTTAATACTCGTTAATACAAATTCTGGAATGTGAAACACTGTAATTACCAGGATTGTGTATCAATATAACGTACATACAAAATAGCTTCGCATCTACCAACTCACTGTCTGGATATTAGGACAACTTGATTATGCATGGATTGATGGATAAACTGGGGTTAGTATTTTAATATCTCATACGTAGCGTCATGATACGTTATGATATTATAAGCCTTTATCTTTATAACACATTTTAACAGTCAAATCAAAATACGAAAATATAAAACAACGATATGAATGAATTCGTCTAATACTTGGCGCGTTTCCCCTTGAACAGCTATACTATCAGATGTAAAAAGGGTGTAAAAACTGCATTTCTCAGATTATTCAATGTATCAATTTAGAGGAATAATAAGCTACCTGAGAAGGAAGCACAATCCATCCACCTGTGCTCCTTGCCGAAGGAAAGGGACTTCGAACGTCAGTTTCTCCTTCCGTAGACTCATTGACATCTGTTTTTTGTACTTGGGTTGCCAGTTAGAAAACATAGGGTTACCTTCTACGAAGGCCTTCCTTTCCTCAAACTCCCTGGCTTGGAAGTAGTGTAGCGATCTGTCGTACAGTTCTCGATTAACTACGACAAGGTCCGTCGTCTCATCGGCAATTATCGTGGCATTCCGGACACAGTCGGCATTGATGAGCGCAAGCTCCCCAAAACTTTTTCCAGATTCTGGAATGAACAACAACAATGTTCATTTTAACAATGAACAAATAAACATACATACAATAGGCATTTTTCTTTATGTCATTGAAAAGTATGTCCGTTTTGTCAATCATGGTTCATACTATATACCAGAATTATTTTTTAGCCGTAGTTTAACTTTTCGTTTCCGACCTCCGTAATGAAAGCAGTTTTTATTACATCGAACATGAGCTAACAACATTAAAAGGGTTATCAAATGTGAAGGGCAAATTAATATAAGGCTAATATAGATTTTACCGATATAAGGCAAAAGTTTAAAGTTACTGAACTGAGAGCTTGATATGTGGTGTATTTTATTGAAATAAGCGAAATGCATCCAAAGTCCGTGAAGAATTAAAATATGATTGTTCAATCATTTGCAGTATAAATGGCCTCATGTTACACATGTATTATGTAATCCTACTTTATCACAAGTTTAAAGTGACTTATAAAACAGCTTGTACCTATTCTCCCGACGTAGTTGCCATATTTGGATCTGTCAAGTTTTTTGTCCTCGCCTTTTTTCTCCTCTTTCCTCTCCACACCTTCTCCTCCACTGTCCTCAGGATTGTCGTCATCCGATCCGAATGTTGTGTTGATGTGTATGGATACGTGACCATTGAGGATTATGAAGAAACTATAATAAATACAGGTGATACTAAATTGTTTGGTGTATTGATTACAGAGCGCTTGATGTAAATGTACATGCTCTATTTATGATAGGTTTCTTTTAAACTGTATAAAAAAAAAAATATTTGTTTCATTACGTCTTGAAATTGATGTGTTGTAAGTCCTTCTCGTTACATGTACACCAATTTTCTAGCGTCGTTTTTGGTCTGATGAAATTCATTACATTGTTAGAGCGTGGTCTGGCGCTTCTCTTCGAGTATATTACAATACTGATTCTTTTCATACAATTCTAACAATGCGTCAAATTGCAAAACTATTTTTACGGCAAAGTGAACATTATGTTATAAAAATGACGTTAAAGTATGCTGGGATGAGAGCGATAGTTCAACAACTGAACCACGGATAATAAAATGATAAGTACCAGAGGAAACAATGGATATTTGTCAAGTTTAATACAAATTGGATGTCAAACGAAGATACATGTACGACAAATTTTAGAGAGAAAAAAAATAAAAATTTACAAAGAATCTAATGAAAGACATGAAAAAATCATGGCGATAACTAATCAAATATCCTGGGAACATATTTTAAATACTGTCAAACTGTCTTCCCGAATTGTTGCTTATTGCGACCTGGTTATCAAATAATGAGTATGTTAAAGCACGTCCTTTAATTTCGTCGGGCGCTTTCGATTGGACAAAAATAATTAGGACACGTATAATAAACGTGTTTAAAGCATATTATTGCCTATAAATGTCTAAACAAAGGTAAAATGCACCCATTTCTATTATTTATTCTTAACACAATCGTGAAAACAACTATCTGCAAAAATTGAAACGATGCACAGAACACTCCTATATAGTTCATATGATATCTAGCAAAATGTATTATGTATGGCTTGAGTGAATGCATGAGTTACTCTTAGATGATTGAACATTGTACATGTATACCAATTCAAAAGGAATTAGGCAACAGGCAAAATGCCTATACAAGATGTCTATATATATTTACCAGTCTCCCTTGTCCCCCTGTTTTATAATCACCGTGTCCCTCTCGACACATTCGAATATACAGTTCTTCACCATATCCTGCACAACCTCTGTAAACAATAATAAAATTAGCTTATAGTCTTCATCATCAACCATGTAACCACATAACACATTGGCAGATGTTACACACAAAGACCAAAGAGCTCTGTGCGTGTAGTAGGCGTTTAAACGCTAGGTAATCAAGGCCACAATTGGGTTCATTTCATATACCAAAACACATTCCTCAACGCGGAGTATATAGTATTACGCTACCGTTTTAAACTACTTAGAAAAACAGTGGAAAAAGGGTATGAATCTTCAATGAATATTTTGCTCGTACCAGAACTAACTTATCGTACACAGACATTTTGAAAAGTCTCCTGATGATTATTTGTACTCTTGGGCTTGTCTGCAAAAACGTGCAAAATCGTGCTATACAATGTACATTACAATCGTATGTATACACATCAACAAACAATAACCAAGGAATGTTTAACGTCGAATATATGATTTACAACAGCAGTGATACAGCACACTTAAAATCAATAATAGCAGACTGAACTTAGGGGTCAGTATTCACACAACTGTTTGTGTCACTGTTAAATATAATGTACATTCCATGTACTAATTCATAATACTTTTATAAAAAGGTAGGATTTCACTTTACATATTGGGCCAACTGATTGCTTTTAAAATGCATTGTTTTGAAATATGAATACAAGAATAAAACAAAAATGTAAATGTGTACAAGTGTAACCCAGAATCCAATTGTTTATTGCCTACCTGTGATACCTGATATGTAATTTGTGTCACCCGTAGCACTGAAATAATTAACATGCTGAAATGCTTTGTCAACACGGTATTGTCAATAGCTGATTACAGCGCTACATTCTGTTATAAAGGCATTGTATGATAACGCCTGAAAACACATGTGTTTCCGGTAACCTTACCAACTCTAAATTATGGAGCTTTATGCAAATTTTGAACATGCATTGTTTTCGTACAGATTTTTGTCCCATATAACCTTATAGCTGCTTACATAAGGATTGAACGATTGTTTTTTCGATTTTATGCCGGTTTGAACGCAAATCGGTTACATACATAGTTCGTGTTATATGATAACGCCTCAAATACCTGTTTAGTGTAACTACTCTATAATCGGTTGTATTGAGCTCTCTATTGACGAAGCATTGTTAACAATATTGATATATATGCTCTACATGACCTTTGGTAAAAATTGCCAACTCTAGTAATGCAAATAGAAAACCAGGGGGTTCATATTTGACCTACATCTTATTTAGTTTTTCAGATTTAGATCACACGTTCACAAAAATATTATATCTATATTATACTTACATCTTACTTCTCTTACCTCTCCAGAATGATCAGCGACTTTATTTCCTGTCACGATACCGATTTATGAACGTCCTTGTACCAGCCATTGAATACATTATCACTAGTTAAATGATGAAGCCTTTTTGAGTGTTTCATATTGCAAATTCTGGTACTGCTATTTTTACCATGATTGTCATAAATAACATATGTCCTTTTATTGTTGTCGTGTGCTTCACCTTTTATATTGATGCTCATCTTCGCTTAAGCTGCGATTTCGTGATTCAAGGACATCGGTAGTCTTTTGGAGAAGGAGGGTTCAGAAAAATGTGAAGTACGACTTTAAATCGTTTTCAATGTTTATGCAAACTTGTACGAAATGCAAAGGTTAATGGATAAAAGAAACATATACAGTATGTAAGTATCTACACAAAACTTATAAAAAAATGTATTTTAATAACCTCGTGAGTAAGCCATTGATACATTTTTGTACAGGGGTTGTATACAAATCAGTAACTACGCAGAACATCAACAGTCAGTAAAAGTCAGCTTGATATATCAATAAAATTGAAATGACGTGCATACTTTATATGTAAAACAAATTGGTTGATTGTGCTTTGATGAAATTAGTACCCAAACTAATTGACGAGGTATTCATCTAATTATACACAGTAAAATCCGACTTATTGTACTTGGCATGTGTGCATTGATTACTGAGACCTCATCTATGGTGGAAGAGGCCAAATGAAGGTCAAATCAAAGTGGGAGAACAATAAAACTGGGAACGTAATTGATCTACTTTTGCCTTTGAAGGATCATCTTTGTTCATCACGACATGTCTATTCCTACATCATGTCTATACTTATAGTATAGGACACACTATTTGCTTTAAATGCTGATTCTGCTGATACTGTAAACAGATTTATTTCAATGCTGGTTCTGCTGATATGTAAACAGGTTTATTTCAATGCTGATTCTGCTGATATGTAAACAGATTTATTTCAATGCTGATTCTAGCTGCTAATATTGTAAAAAAGATTTATTTCAATGCTGATTCTGCTGTTACTGTATACTGGTTTATATTAATGGTATCACTACTGATACTGTATACTGGTTTATATCAATAGTATCACTACTGATACTGTATCCAGGTTTATATCAATGGTAACACTACTGATACTGTATACAGGGTTATATCAATTGGTAACACTACTGTTACTTTATACAGGTTTATATCAATGGTAACACTACTGATACTGTATACAGGGTTATATCAATTGGTAACACTACTGTTACTATATACAGGTTTATGCCAATGGTAACACTACTGATACTGTATACAGGTTTGTATCAATTGGTAACACTACTGTTACTTTATACAGGTTTATATCAATGGTAACACTACTGTTACTGTATACAGGTTAATATCAATGGTAACACTACTGATACTGTATACAGGTTTGTATCAATTGGTAACACTACTGTTACTGTATACAGGTTTATGCCAATGGTAACACTACTGATACTGTATACAGGGTTATATCAATTGGTAACACTACTGTTACTGTATACAGGTTTATATCAATTGGTAACACTACTGTTACTGTATACAGGTTTATATCAATGGTAACACTACTGATACCGATAATTGATTTATTGTAACGTGACTTTTAGGTATTCTGAATTGGGCACCTCTTGTGTTTAATGATATAGTTATTGATCACATATAATTTCATCTTATATTAGTAAAGTCATTCTCATCATACTTAAAGAGAGATTTAATGTGAAAAAATATACCATTTACATTAGAATTCGATTTGGCATCATGTAAAAGTTAGGTTAGACCATTCAACGACGCCCCTTAAGAGGAACCGAATGCGGCAAATAGATCATCCATAACGGACCTCAACAGAGATTTAATGTGAAAACTAGATAATCGATAGCGCACCTAAAGAGAGATTTCATGCGGAAACTAGATCATCCATAGTGCACCTAAAGAGATATTTGGTATGAAAACTAGATCATCCATAGTGCACCGAGATATATTTAATGCGGAAAATAGATCATCCATAATGGATCTAAAGAGATATTTAATGCGGAAACTAGATAATCCATAACGGAACTGAAGAGAGATTTAATGCGGAAATTCGATCATCCATAGCGCACCTTAAAAGATATTTAATGCGGAAACTAGATAATCCATAAAGGACCTAAAGAGAGATTTAATGCGTAAACTAGATAATCTATTACGGAACTAAAGAGAGATTTAATGATGAAATTAGATAACCCATAACAGAACTAAAGAGAGATTTAATGTGAAAACTAGATAATCCATACCAGAACTAAAGAAATATTTAATGTTAAAACTAAATCATCCATAACGGACCTTAAGAGATATTTAATGCGGAAATTAGATAATCCATTACGGAACTAAAGAGAGATTTAATGTGAAAACTAGATCATCCATAGCGCACCTAATGAGATATTTAATGCGGAATCTAGATAATCCATAACGGAACTAAAGAGAGATTTAATGCGGAAACTAGATAATCCATAACGGAACCAAAGATAGATTTATTGTGAAAACTAGATCATCCATAGCGCACCTAAAGAGATATTTAATGCGGAAACTAGATAATCCATAAAGGACCTACAGAGAGATTTAATGCAGAAATAAGATAATCAATAACGGAACTAAAGAGAGATTTAATTTGGAATCTAGATAATCCATAACGGAACTAAAGAGAATTTTAATGCGGAAACTAGATAATCCATAACGGAACCAAAGATAGATTTATTGTGAAAACTAGATCATCCATAGCGCACCTAATGAGATATTTAATGCGGAATCTAGATAATCCATAACGGAACTAAAGAGAGATTAAATGCGGAAACTAGATAATTCATAACGGACCTAAAGAGAAATTTAATGCGGAAATTAGATAAACAATAACGGAACTAAAGAAATATTTAATGTGAAAACTAAATCATCCATAACGGACCTAAAGAGATATTTCATGCAGAAACTAGATAACCCATAACAGAACTAAAGAGAGATTTAATGTGAAAACTAGATAATCCATAGCGCACCCAAAGAGATATTTAATGCGGAAACAAGATAATCCATAACGGAACTAAAGAGAGATTAAATGCGGAAACTAGATAATCCATAACGGAACCAAAGATAGATTTATTGTGAAAACTAGATAATCCATAACGGAACTAAAGAGATATGTAAGGTGAAAACTAGATCATCAATAACGGACCTAAAGAGTTATTTAATGCGGAAATTAGATAACCCATAACAGAACTAAAGAGAGATTTAATGTGAAAACTAGATCATCCATACCAGAACTAAAGAAATATTTAATGTGAAAACTTAATCATCCATAACGGACCTTAAGAGATATTTAATGCGGAAATTAGATAATCCATTACGGAACTACAGAGAGATTTAATGTGAAAACTAGATCATCCATAGCGCTCCTAATGAGATATTTAATGCGGAATCTAGATAATCCATAACGGAACTAAAGAGAGATTTAATGCGGAAACTAGATAATCCATAACGGAACCAAAGAAAGATTTATTGTGAAAACTAGATCATCCATAGCGCACCTAAAGAGATATTTAATGCGGAAACTAGATAATCCATAAAGGACCTAAAGAGAGATTTGATGCAGAAATTAGATTATCAATAACGGAACTAAAGAGAGATTTAATGCGGAAATTAAATAAT